GATAATATAAATTCAGATAATAATAGTGGATTTTTGGTCAGCCTTGTTATTTATGCAGATGAAGAACATCCACAATTATTGCAATCAGTAATGCCTCATCCATATATAAGACGTATGAGTGCAAGACTTTTAACATTACTCGAAGCACCTTTTAAGTGTTTACAAATATATTATCCTAACTATTACACTGAAAAAATTATTCATTACTTGGGGGGATTTGAAAATATATTGTTTTTAAATACAAATATTGTTACTATATTAAGAATAGATAATAAGGGTAAAATAGTAGATGCTGCATATAATACTGATGGAAGAATTAGTGGTATAAGTACAGCATACATACACAACGAATTTTTATGGCTTGGTACTCCCTTCTCAGAATATATTTCTAGAGTTCCACTGAAGCAGGCATTTCCAAATCTATTAATTGAAGAAAAACAACAATTTGAGAAAGTCAAGCAAACTGAAAAAAAAATTAATGCGAATATAAACAATCAACAGAAACCAAGCTCCGCTACACCAACTCCTAACCCAACAGAATCAAAATCATTTACTACTCCATCTCCTAAGCCAGTAAAATCTAAACCAAGTAGTTCGACTAAAAAACCTCAAGAATCCAAATCATCCAATAAACCTTCTAAGATATCAAACCAACAAAAATCTAGTCGCAGTAGTGAGACGAATTCTTAGAAGTACATAACTGACAAATGAATAAATAAAAAATAAAAACATTTATTTATATTTTTAACTAATTAAATATCGGGTATATATTAAAAATTGTTATATATTTTCTGTGATAAAATATAAAATTGAGATTAGCACGGGTGTTGTTTTATAGTATACGAAACTGTAGCTATTAGACAAAAATTTATAAAAGTTACGTACTATGAAGATGTTCGGTAAGAACTTTCATAATTTTATACATTTATTGAAGGGCATTACAATATTTTGAAATGACTAATAAGTAAATAATTAAATAATTATTCTTGTTAAGGATTGGGATTAAAGAAGTGAATATTTTTAATTATGTAGAAATATAAAATATTTATAATTATTTTCTATAAAATAAAATATTTTTAAAAAATTATTAGTCATTATTTTTCCCCACCCATTCTTACTACTTACAAAATTAATCACATTTGTATATATATATATAATCAGTTGATTTTAAAAATTTTTATGATGTAATAATTTATTTTATAATGGATATTGATTATGAATTATAGTACAAATGATTCTATTCTTTATATTCCAAATGTATTGTTATATATTTAAATAACTGAATTGATGCAGACTAATTCATGGTCATATTAATTTAAAAATTTTTTAATTTGAAATAAAAATTTATTACATTGTGCAACAAATGGGTTCAGAGATTGAGTAACAGACCAGTATCTATAAATACTACTAAATCTTATTTTATTTTTCTATATGTAACTTGTTGCACATGAAGAAAATTGCACAGTAAATATTTCAAATACAGCTTAGATTTCAACATTGATTAAGATTATTACATAGTTTTTATTGTCAATAAAATAATGTTGAAATGATATACATTACAAATCTCTATTCCAGTAGATATCAATATAAATATTTTTACCAATTTCAAATTTAAGGCATACTTACGTTGTTTAATATATCTATGGATTAGAGTCAATTTTTTAAAAAAGTTATAAGATATTGTATGATTTATTTTTTAAATTACACAATAAAATTTAATATTCTCAGTAAGGATTTGAAGGAAATAACTATAATTAATATCATTATATATAGATAAAGATTAGCAAATTTTACAAAAACAATTTACATTCGATTTGACATATATATGTAATATTAAGTTGTAAACACATCTGCAGTAAAACATGCTGCAATTTACTTAAAGATTTTTTCAACTGAAAACTTACTGTATATATATATATATATATATATATATATATATATATGACTATGACGGTGTGTGTGCGTATACATATATGCATATATATATATATATATATATATATATATATAGTGTCTATAAATTAGAATTAGTATAATTCGGTTACTTTTTCATTTTTGTTTAACATTTCAATACTTAATTTTTTGGTCTTAAAATGAAATATTAAAAAATCTAGGCAAACTTTGGATAAAAGACATTTATGTCAAGTATATATTAAAAAACTGAAAAAATTCATTATCAATTAATAGATCAATTTTTTTTAGTTGATAGTTGAAGATTATTGTTAAATTTTCAAAACCATCCAAACAAAATTATAAGATAATAAAATTATTTCGATTGAAGCATTGATAAAGAATGTCTAAATTGTTGTTTATTCATTGAAAATTATTTGAATATAATATATAGATTCATTTAAAATTAAACAAAAACATAATTATTATATAAATACCGTAATTATTTGCAAATCTTGACATATTCAAGATCTTTACATTTAATGAATATTTTCATAAATTATGGTATGTAAGGGTATTTGGAGAACGTGGAATAAATAATTTTATCTACATTTGAAAATATATTTTATTTAGATATAAATAATATTTATGATTTTTAATACATGCATCTTAAAATGGCTCACTCGATTTTAGAAATAATAGTATATTATCGCCACTAAGTTTAAAATTGTAATATTTAATTAATATTTTAATAATATTTAAGTATATATTAAAATTTATTAAAAAAAAAAATTATAGTAATATTGTTTATAAAACCAAACATAATTTTAAACTTTTAAAAAATAATCTCGTTATTTTCTTTCTTTTTAGTATACATTTATGTTCTTGAAACAAAAAACCAAGAAATTTAAATATACTTTTTATTAAGACAAATTTTCATTATTTTTATTTTTATATAACTGGATGAAAGTTTGTAGAAGTATATAATTGTAGCTAGAAACTATTATCTTATTTAGTACATTAAATTAATAATGTGCAGTAAAAATAAATTTTTTTATATATTTGTCTTCCATTCAATTTTTTTTTTTTTTTTTTGTTTTTCAAATATACTTATTGTGAACAAACATCTTATTTGTTCAAAAAATATTTTTGTAGTAAATAGTTATTAACAAGTCAATTGAGGATCTAAATACATTTGTTTTGTATTTCTAAATTTGCTTGGACTATGACGCCGTTTAAAACCTTTCCTTGAATTACGGCCTGAAAAGTTTAATGCATTAATTGATTTAAATTATAATTCCATCACTATGAATAGTTATTTGTGCATGTAAAATAAATCAGATTTTTGAGAAATTTAACTCAGTGTGATCCTAAAGATCGCTCGGTATTAGCATGGCAAATCATCATATGAACAAAAGTCTGAGAGTTTTATATATAATATAGAAATTATGAAAATTAATAATACAAAAAGAATATTATCTAGTAATATGTATGGATATTCGAAATGAGAATGTTATTATGATATATAATTAATGATATTCAAAAATTAGTGTGATTTACCTTTATCTCGATAGTTTAATCTATGATTGACCATATTTTCTTGTATTTTTGTTAAATAAGCTTCTTCTTCCTCACCTTCAAGTAATTTGCAATTTATATCACAATCGTTAATTGTTATCTGAAATAAAAATAGTTTTAAATGTTTAATTATTTAAGTATTAAGTAAAAGTAAATTTCCAAATTACAAACCACATTTGTATTTAATTTTTTTAATAAATCGATAGCAGAATTTTCTCCTTGCAAACGTATCCATCCTTCAATATCTCCACTCTTATATTCAACGTATGCTACTTCACCTTTTAACTGTATTATTTTTTGTTTTATTTCATCTTTAGTAATATTTTTATGTATGTTTGAAATATGAATTAAACAACCTTTTGGAAGTTTAATTTTATCTTCGATATTATTTTTATGTTTAGGTTCTTTTGTCTAGTGAAAAAACAATATCTGCATTAATTAATATAAGTGAAAAAGGTTATTTAAAAAAATTAATAATTACAATATGAGTTACTCAACCTACATTACTACTTTTATTGGTATTTTGAGTTTTTATTTTTTTTTGACGTCTTTCATCTCTTTCCTTCTCCTTTGATGCTGTATAATCAACTCTATAAATATTAACAAATTTATCTCATAAATTTAATGTAGCTTATTGACAAATTAATAAAAACTCTTACTTTAATAAATTATTTAAAATGAATTTACAGCAATCAATCGAGTGCACATAATTTTGCTCAACAATAGTTAAGAATAATTAATTTGTGACAATTAAATTTATAAATTCATTTAATATAAAAAATGACTTAATTTGTTTCACTTACGACCATAATTTAATTAATTCAGTATCCTTATATTTGATGGATTCTTGCTCTATAAATGCCTTGGCATCATCCAACGTTTTGAATTGCAAAAATATCGATCCTTTAAAAAAATATTCTTTACCTTTTTTATACTTTCTCATCTTAGATACACAAATAATGATATAAATATATTAAATGAAAGCTTAAAAATTTTCTGATTAATATAAACAAGTTAATTATACATACAATAATGGCCTCGATAGAATCTACAGATTCAAAATGAGACTTTAATGTTTCAATGGTTATGTCAAGTGGAAATCCTTTTAAGTAAATCGTTCGACTTTCCTGAGCTTTTTTATAATTACTATCGTATATTGGTAAAGGCTTTTCCAATGTTCGACGTATTTTCTTTTTATCCACAGAAACTTCAATAAGGTCACTATTTTCTAAAGCCTTTAAGATAACATCAAAACTTTTACTTAACGATGATAACATTTTAAAGTTTAACATAATTGTCATTGGAATCCAACCATTATCAAGTTTTGATTGTTCTATAAGAAACTTATCTCGTTGCATATTAACATCTCCAAAATAAAACTATAATGGAATACAATTTATTTACTTATTAAATATACATTTTAACAATATTCTTAAATATTACATACCTCGACTTGTTTTCTAATTTTATTTAACAATTCATTTGGAACTTCGCTTGGTTCTGTATCTACGTCGTCATTATTACATTTTTCTGTTTCTTCAGTTTCTGTATTAGCATCTACCGGCTTGTCATCAGTCTTAACCTCCTCTTTTGAGAAATTTTCTTTTTTATCCAAATTGGCTTCCTGCTGGGTATCGTTCTTTATTTCTTCCATCACTTATATTGTCTTGATATTAATTAAAATTGTATTAAACAATAAACTAAGTTGATATATTAAGTTATGCGAAATTGTTAATTATCAAAGTACAAATGATTAATCACTGCACGTGGATACCTATCGTTTTCATAAAATGCATTAAACTCGGTAGTCTTATGGGAATCTGGAATTTAGAATCAATCCGGAAATGACGCCAGTTTTGATCGAATGATCTTTCCATTTAAATTTAACATTATAGTACAATACTAAAAGGATTCACATAAAATTGTTACCTAATGAAAGTAGTACAGGCATAAACCTTTAATAAGAGACAAATGACAAAATTCAATATAAAGCGTATAATGGGCAACTTTTACCATACAAAATGACAATGTTTGTACTTTATTAAAATGAATTGTATTTAAAATTCGATGTAAACATACAGGGAACAAATATATAGTACAAGAATAAACTGTAAACGTTACTTTAAAAATATCAGTGTTTATAAATACTTTTATATTGAAATTTGAATGAGACAATAAAGACCTTTATAATGTAATATTTGAAAATATATTATTAAACATTTAATTGCATTATTAAAATCCAAATCGTTTTGTTCAATTTTATTTTCAAGCTCTTGTTATAACATAAAAATAGATATAATTTATAAATAGTTTAAAGATTTGAAGAAGAAGAAGATAGTTAATCTAAATGTACATATAATATTACATAGAAATATATTAAAATTTGCAAACGAAGGAAGCATAAATTTGAACTTGTCTTACGTAGTGATATTTTCTCAAAATGACGTTTCTGTTCCTTATTCTAGAATTATTTGCTGTTCCTTTCCACTCCGCTCTTTGGGGTGACTGCGCCAATTTAGTTTTAGCTCTGATCAAATCTTATTCCATCTTCCAAAATGAAAATCTACAAGGATATATTTACAGGTAAAAAGTTTTATTATATAATACATTTTCAAGTAGACTTAATATTTTTTTAAAATTTGCTATACAATATCTTAATTTCACACATTTCTTTTACCTGCATTACATATATTGTTCCGTTATTTCCTTCTTAAACATTAATTTTTCAGCCTACTGATATATTCCATTACAAAAATATTTATTTTATCTATGATTAATGCCCTATGATAGTTAGAATTTTTTTTATATAACTTAAGACGCTTAATAAAATTTATTTGAGGCATATTACAAACTTTAAAAGTATGAAGTTTTTAATATATAATGTTATATTTTAGGAGACGAGATGTTTTCCGATACTTATAAAATAAAACTTGTTGATAATGTTATCTATGAGGTTTATGGCAAGGTAATAATTTTTATTGTGCATATGTTGATATATATTTAATTAATATGCTTACAATAATTGTACGTAATATTACAGCTTATCTGTCGCAAAGTTGGAGAAGTTGAAATTGCTGGATTCAATCCATCTGCCGAAGAACCAGATGAAGGAACTGATTCAAGTATGGAAACTGGTGTTGATATTGTTTTAAATCATAGATTGCAGGAGACTTATGCTTTCAGTAGTAAAAAATCATATACTCTCTACCTAAAAGATTTTATGAAAAAGTAGGTCAATTATGAAAATAACAATATTTTAGTAGTCAATCCTCTATTCCCTTAAAAATAATATAAATATTTATCAGACTTGTAGCTAAATTAGAAGAAAAAGCTCCTGATCAGGTTGAAGTTTTCAAAACAAATGTGAACAAAGTCATGAAAGATATTTTAAGTCGATTTCAAGAACTTCAGTTTTTTACCGGAGAATCAATGGATATTGATGGACTTGTTGGGCTCATGGAATATCGTGACATAGAGGGTGATACTGTACCAGTACTGATGTTCTTTAAACATGGATTGGAAGAGGAAAAGTTGTAGAAAAGTTTTATGCAACAATTTTTTAACATTTGTAAGTAAATTAACGCATGTACATTATTTTACATGAATTACATGGAAATTCATAGCATACAATGAAATTGTCTGTTATTGCACAACCATGTTAAATAATAATGACGATTAATTAGTGGATATAATAATTAATTTATTATATATTTTTTAAAAGCCATACAGAGTTTCTAGTTTTTAATTTAATGTTTAGAAACGTATACTTGGTTGGTTTCATTTAAATTTTTAATAATTTCTATTTTTAGATAATCAGAATCAAGACTGTTATCTGACTGGAGAAAACCATGAAATTTTGTTCATGGTATTGAACATGCATTACTTCCAGAATAATGCAATAATTTATTTTTAATTGTTATCAATATTTTTATGCAAGTCAATGCTATTGTAAATATTATTGGTGCACAAATAGAACAGTATAATCACCACGATATAATTTTAAAAGAAGAAGATGGGACAAGAATAAATGATCATGAGAGGATTAATGTGCTATCAATAGCTATTGAAATTATACAACGATGGAATTTGTTTCTAAATACAACAGAATAAGTTTATTCAAAATAAAAAACTATACATTTTTCTAAACCCTAACAGAGTTGACTTATTTTCTAGAATTAACGATTTGATGTTTGCTTATAACCGAATGTTAATACGTAACCTATTAATTTTAACATTTAAAAATTTCAAGTTAATTTCCGAAATTGAATACAGAATAATTTTGTTGATTACAAATTAATGATCTTTAACATTTGATTAAAATTATAATAAATTAAATGAATATATTGAATTCCGAATTATTTTGATTAAAGATATATATTTTTCAAATATTAAAACTAAGAAACTTTTTTTTAATTCCTTTCATTCCATTTACAACCTACTTTTATCGAAATTTTAATATAATTATAAAATAAGACGAATGAAAATACATCTAATATTGCTATAGAGGATAAATGAAATTACAATATATATATATAATGTTTTACGATTTTCGTAAAATGTACAAAGTAAATATTTCATTGATATAAAATTTATTTTATTATTTTATACTGAACAATAAAGATTCAGTAAATTCAGTATAATACCAATGTATCGTAAACTATGAGATGAATATTTAAATTTTAGTAAATCATTTTTTCTAAACGTTATGGTAAAATTAATAAAAAAAAAAAGAAAAAACAACGGTTCAATTGAAATGTAGGAGTTAAACAATATGTATATTAATTATGCAAGTCATTTATTCCCAAAATTTTAATTAAACAAAAAACAGAAATTTAACTTACAATAATTTATTCATAATAAATTATATTTAAATGTGTTTTATTAAAATTTAATTTATCACCCTCATTATTATAATAGTGCTTTAGATAAAGCTATTTTTGTTTTTCATCTATAAAGCAAAACAAGACAATATTCCTTACTTTTGAATTTATTAGTAGCTCTCTAAAAAATAATCATTCGTTTATTCTTTTTTTTTTTTTTTTTTGATTTTGGTATACGATGATGAGCTTAACTTCTGACTTACAACCCATGAAAATCTGATAGCCATATCGCCGCCTACCATAGTGTGATTATAATCAGAACTCATCCCTCATATCCGGCGCCATGTATTCTTGAAAGGTAGCCCACTTAAATATATAGTTTTTGATTGTCAATACACAGTTTTTCACAATAAATTATTCACAATATAATATTACACTAATAAAAATATATTGAAATTGTATTTAATTTGTAAAACTTACTATAGAGGATTGCTTCTCCGATGAAAATATAAGTAATATGATCGAGATATTTAAGAATACAACAATATTTATAGCACTATGAGTAATTTAAAATTTTTTAAATTAAATACAAATTTATTTATATACGTATCATAAAATAACTCAATTACATATTTATGTGGTAATTTTTAATAGTATAAAATGAGTTATTTTTTATCAAATATTTTTTATTTTTAAATATAATGCCAGATATATAGTGAAATATTACATTCAATACTACTTAATATTATTTATTATTTTGAAAATGTTTTTATCTTTAATGAAAAAAGGGTTTTAAGATATCGGAATTTTAATATTTGCAGTAAAAAATTTCAATATTTTTATTTACATTATAATAATTGTATATTATACATATACATATATATATATTAGTGTAAATAACATTTGTAGTTTGCACTTTAATTAAACATTTTTACAATTTTTAGTTTACAGTTATAAATAAAAAAATCACTATAATATTTTAGGGAGTATTTAAATAAATTTTTAATCTAATTTCATTCTTCATGGTTGATAATATATTATGCAGTTTATATAGATTATTGAAAAATTGATAGTGACATAAAATGGTTATAATGTAATGTGTAAACGGAATAAAAATTATAAATTATATATTTATACAGTATAAATTAGAAATTATAATATAATCTATTAATATGTTCACCATTAATGTAATAAATCAGGTTTCTTTTATTATGCTCTTTAACATTTCTGACTCGGTACTCTTTCGATTATTTTAACGACAGTCTATGAAGTTCCGTATTTTATTAAAAAATAAAATATGCACACTTTGTTTACAAATATATATAGGTTAAATCAATTTCAATTTCAAAATTTGAATACTTTCATATTGTATATAAATAAAAACTGATGAATTTGGTTTTATATAAGCATATTTGTATAATTTGATTTTTAGATTAAATGAAAACTTCTCATACGTACATATTAAACAAAATAGTTATGAAAATATTAATGAATTACAAAATATTTTTATTTTTAATATAGTTATAACAAATAATGATTATTCTAAAAATTTTAATTTGAAATATCTACATTATCAAAGGAAAATAATATGTTAGAATATAATTTATAAAAGTAATTTTTATATGATTTCAAAATCGATATATATTTTTTAAACATTTTAAGGAATTCTTGATTAAGAAAACCAATAAACCTGTATAAAAAATAATACTAAAATATAAAAAGTAATACTCAAGTTTTTCGTTTAATTTAATGACATAATGTAGAATCAAAATTTCATTTTTCCTTTTTTTTTTTTAATGTTTTAATTATATACAGTTAAAGAAAAAACTTGAGTATTACTTTATATGTTCATATTTTGAAATAATTTACTAAATCTTAATATGCGATTTCATATACACTCTAGAAATAAATATAAGCAATATTTTATTTTTCTTCTTTATTTATTTTCACAATTATATTAAAGAATTTCTATCATCAATTGATATGAAATTTATGTTATTGGCTAGCATTATAATACCACTTGTTAATCCACAGTAAAAGTATTATGGAATCATATTATAAAATATAAGCTGTACTAAAATAATAATTGTATTCATTATTTTATAGAATATAAATCACTTATGTAAATCATTATATTTAATTATAAATGTTTATTCCAGATATATATTATTATTGCCATATATACTTTTTAAAAATATTATCTTTTTTTGATAGTGCATTTAAATTTAATGAACATGACAATGTAAATAAATATAGGATTAAGAAAAAATAGAAAATTAGAAAGATAAATACATTAGCTCTGATTATCTGTCTATGTTTATAAGTTATAAGTATGCTATTTTTTTATTCCAAATATATATTATTTTTAATTTAACACAAAAAAAATAACGTACTATCGGTAAAAATTACTTAAATTAAAACGTTAAAACAAAGTTGTAATTTTGTCATTATTTTGTCGATTAATAAGAATTTGGTAAAAAATTGGCTGATAAGATGGGCTAAGAAAATCTATATGTGTATGCGGAGGTGGGGCATACGTGCGTGGATATACTTGGATTTCATATGTTTGTGAATATTTACAATATTTTATATTAATAAACCATTTCAATATAAATATACTGTACATTTGTTGTAGCTTAGAACAATATAATCAATTTATTAAAAATGATAATTCAGCCAAAACTTTTTGTAACGTATGAATTGAGATTTAAAATTAAATATTTATAACATTTTGTAATTCAAAATTTATTTTTTTTGTTATTATTATTATAAATATAGAACCAATTTTTTACAATATATAATATTTTATACTTTCTAATAATTAAAACTTACTGCTGTCTCATAATTATTTTGAAATGTTATAAAAAAAATTATATTTCTTATTATAACATAATATAGTACTACAATTATAGATAATTTTAGATATGAAATGTGAGAAATTAATTAATCATAACAGATTTGAATGAAAAAACATTAAACCAACATGTTGTAAAATTTATTATTTATTTATTGTTTATTATATGTTTTTTTTTTTTTAAATAAAATATAAATACCTATTTTTACTTTAATGAACAAATTTTTATTTCTAATGAAAGCAAAATTATCTGAACATCATTTTTTTTCTCACAATTACAATGCATTATTATTATAGGAGATTAAATTTTAATTATATTTAAAAATATTTGTTTATAATTGATTTTGAATAATTGAAGTATAATAAAAATCAACGCATATTTTATTCAAAAACTTTCATGCTATGAATAATTTGTATAATCGGTTTCAGAAACTAATAGTATAATATGTATAGTATCTGCAAACAATTCTGTGCAATTTTCATGAAATTGAATATATTTATTTTAATTAAAAATATAATATACATATAGTTAAATTGTACTTAGAATATATAAAACTTCAATTTATTCCATTTTACCATTAAATTATTAACGTTTAAGTTACAAAATACTCATTACTACGAATTTCAGTTACAAATTTTGTGTAATTACAGAAAATCTAGTGTGCGTGTGTTAATAATTAATAAACCTGAGCGCTTTCAAGTGCTTCAAATTAATTCATAGCTCATGTAGTAAAAATAATACTCTTAAAATTATTAATTTATTTAGTCGACGGTATCAAATAAGTTGCCATAAAAAATATTTAAAATATTAATATAATAGCATTTTATAATTTGGATAATATTAATAATAATTGTAATATTATTTTGCTTCTCATGTTACTTTTATGAAGTAAAAGTAAATTTAAAGTGTAACATATAAAACAAAATAATTAGTTATGAATGCTTTAAAAACTTAATGCATTTGAGTATGCTAAGGGTAATTAATAATTGCTAAATAAATTTTTTTTGCAATCTTTTTTTTTGGCAAACCAACAAAATTGTAATTAAAGTAATTAGAAGTAGTATGTGCTTTATAACTTATAAATTAACATTCTGATAGTTTGATAAAAGATTTTATAATTCATAACACAATAATCAATTATATAGTTTTAGTCTTATTACTGAATATTATTATTATATATTATAATCATTAAAAAATATGAATAATAATAGTTAATAGAATTAATAGCATAATAATTGTTAGAGAAAAAAATTAAATACTTAATGATTCGTTAATACTTATTCGTTTCATTCTTACAGTCAAAGATTTTGTAACAATGTAAAGCAAAAATGTTATAATTTTCTTTTTCTCGATTTAGGATTACTGATAGAATAATTTTCTTAAAAAGCAATGCTTAAATCTTGGTTAATAGTATATTAAGTACATGAATAACGTGATAGATTTCATCATTTTAAATTCATAATTATTATTATGAAAA